ATAATTTGTAACAGCTTTATTTGGACCTAAATCAAGGTGTTCAGATTAATTTTACGTTTTAGGCAAAGGGACCCGAGCATTTGTAACAGCTATTTGGGGACCTAATCAAGGTGCTCAGATTATTTATTTAGGGGTTCAGATCGACTATCGGTAAACAAGCCACTCCCAATGATGATATAATTAATGTCAGTAATTAACTTCGAAGGTTTTCTGGTATACACATGTACAGCAGTCTATTGTTTGTATCAAACATTGAGCAGTAAATGTAGCCTGGTATTGGGTAAAGCTTGTAGAGTTAGATCAGGTATTCACAAGACTTCACTATGACGTCATGGAGTGTTTATGTAGACCCAATTGGTTCCCACACTCAATGCGTCACTAAATACTTTGTTGATACGTCATGTTATGTCCATTATTTCCCACACTGGTGTACCATTATCTACATTATGCAAGATCTTCATTTTCACCTAAAGGTGTGAGGAGTCAATTGCAAGTACATGTACCAGGAAATAGTCGTCACAGTTAAGCTGTTGCCAATATTTGTATACAAGATACTATACATGGGAATAACATATACAGGGCAAAATTAACTCTCTGAGCAGAAATGGATTGTACCAGTAACGTCAAAATTAACTCGGAGCAGAAATAGATTGTACCAGTAATGTCAAAACTTACTCTGAGCAGAAATGGATTGTACCAGTAATGTCAAAATTAACTCGGAGCAGAAATGGATTGTACCAGTAACATCAAAACTTACTCTTGAGCAGAAATGGATTGTACCAGTAACGTCAAAATTAACTCGGAGCAGAAATAGATTGTACCAGTAATGTCAAAACTTACTCTGAGCAGAAATGGATTGTACCAGTAATGTCAAAACTTACTCTTGAGCAGAAATGGATTGTACCAGTAATGTCAAAACTTACTCTTGAGCAGAAATGGATTGTACCAGTAATGTCAAAACTTACTCTTGAGCAGAAATGGATTGTACCAGTAATGTCAAAACTTACTCTTGAGCAGAAATGGATTGTACCAGTAATGTCAAAACTTACTCTTGAGCAGAAATGGATTGTACCAGTAATGTCAAAACTTACTCTTGAGCAGAAATGGATTGTACCAGTAATGTCAAAACTTACTCTTGAGCAGAAATGGATTGTACCAGTAATGTCAAAACTTACTCTTGAGCAGAAATGGATTGTACCAGTAATGTCAAAACTTACTCTTGAGCAGAAATGGATTGTACCAGTAATGTCAAAACTTACTCTTGAGCAGAAATGGATTGTACCAGTAATGTCAAAACTTACTCTTGAGCAGAAATGGATTGTACCAGTAATGTCAAAACTTACTCTTGAGCAGAAATGGATTGTACCAGTAATGTCAAAACTTACTCTTGAGCAGAAATGGATTGTACCAGTAATGTCAAAACTTACTCTTGAGCAGAAATGGATTGTACCAGTAATGTCAAAACTTACTCTTGAGCAGAAATGGATTGTACCAGTAATGTCAAAACTTACTCTTGAGCAGAAATGGATTGTACCAGTAATGTCAAATTAACTCTGAGCAGAAATGAATTGTACCAGTAATGTCAAAACTTACTCTGAGCAGAAATGGATTGTACCTATAACACCAAAACTTACTCTGAGCAGAAATGGATTGTACCAGTAATGTCAAAACTTACTCTTGAGCAGAAATGGATTGTACCAGTAATGTCAAAACTTACTCTTGAGCAGAAATGGATTGTACCAGTAATGTCAAAACTTACTCTTGAGCAGAAATGGATTGTACCAGTAATGTCAAATTAACTCTGAGCAGAAATGAATTGTACCAGTAATGTCAAAACTTACTCTGAGCAGAAATGGATTGTACCTATAACACCAAAACTTACTCTGAGCAGAAATGGATTGTACCAGTAATGTCAAAACTTACTCTTGAGCAGAAATGGATTGTACCAGTAATGTCAAAACTTACTCTTGAGCAGAAATGGATTGTACCAGTAATGTCAAATTAACTCTGAGCAGAAATGAATTGTACCAGTAATGTCAAAACTTACTCTGAGCAGAAATGGATTGTACCTATAACACCAAAACTTACTCTGAGCAGAAATGGATTGTACCAGTAATGTCAAAACTTACTCTTGAGCAGAAATGGATTGTACCAGTAATGTCAAAACTTACTCTTGAGCAGAAATGGATTGTACCAGTAATGTCAAATTAACTCTGAGCAGAAATGAATTGTACCAGTAATGTCAAAACTTACTCTGAGCAGAAATGGATTGTACCTATAACACCAAAACTTACTCTGAGCAGAAATGGATTGTACCAGTAATGTCAAAACTTACTCTTGAGCAGAAATGGATTGTACCAGTAATGTCAAAACTTACTCTTGAGCAGAAATGGATTGTACCAGTAATGTCAAATTAACTCTGAGCAGAAATGAATTGTACCAGTAATGTCAAAACTTACTCTGAGCAGAAATGGATTGTACCTATAACACCAAAACTTACTCTGAGCAGAAATGGATTGTACCAGTAATGTCAAAACTTACTCTTGAGCAGAAATGGATTGTACCAGTAATGTCAAAACTTACTCTTGAGCAGAAATGGATTGTACCAGTAATGTCAAATTAACTCTGAGCAGAAATGAATTGTACCAGTAATGTCAAAACTTACTCTGAGCAGAAATGGATTGTACCTATAACACCAAAACTTACTCAAATTAACTCTGAGCAGAAATGAATTGTACCAGTAATGTCAAAACTTACTCTGAGCAGAAATGGATTGTACCTATAACACCAAAACTTACTCTGAGCAGAAATGGATTGTACCAGTAATGTCAAAACTTACTCTTGAGCAGAAATGGATTGTACCAGTAATGTCAAAACTTACTCTTGAGCAGAAATGGATTGTACCAGTAATGTCAAATTAACTCTGAGCAGAAATGAATTGTACCAGTAATGTCAAAACTTACTCTGAGCAGAAATGGATTGTACCTATAACACCAAAACTTACTCAAATTAACTCTGAGCAGAAATGAATTGTACCAGTAATGTCAAAACTTACTCTGAGCAGAAATGGATTGTACCTATAACACCAAAACTTACTCTGAGCAGAAATGGATTGTACCAGTAATGTCAAAACTTACTCCGAACAGAAATGGATTGTACAAATAATGCCAAAACTTACTCTGCGCAGAAATGGATTGTACCAGTAACATCATAATTAACTCGAGCAGAAACGGATTGTACCAGTAGTGTCAAAATAAAATCGGAGCAGAAATGGATTGTACCAATCATGTCAAAATTAACTCCGAACAGAAATGGATTGTACAAATAATGCCACAACTTACTCTGAGCAGAAATGGATTGTACCAGTAACATCATAATTAACTCGAGCAGAAACGGATTGTACCAGTAGTGTCAAAATAAACTCCGAGCAGATATAGATTGTACCAGTGGCGTCAAAATGAACTCGGAGCAGAAATGGATTGTACCAGTTACGCCAAAATTAACTCGAGCAGAAATGGATTATACCAGTAATGTCAAAATTAACTCCGAGCAGAAATGGATTGTACCAGTGATGTCAAAATTAACTATGAGCAGAAATGGATTGTACCAGGAACAAGCAAAATTAACTATGAGCAGAAATGGATTGTACCAGTAATGTCAAAACTTACTCTGAGCAGAAATGGATTGTACAGATAACACCAAAACTTACTCTGAGCAGAAATGGATTGTACCAGTAACAGGCAAAATTTGGACTGGGCGAAAGTTTGTGGGTATACAGTACCTCATGATTACAAGACACATTGATGTAATTAAGTAAGATAATTTTCTTTTGTGAATTTTAATCCTCGAAAATTCTGACAAACAACAGACAACAGTTTTTGTGCAAACAATAATATTATTCATTTCCATGGTACATAAATATTACTTAATACATGTGATTACAGTGATATTGCAAAAATATATTTTCTACAATATTTTTTTCTCATCAGAATAATGAATAAAATCATAAAATTGTTCAACAATTTCTTTATCTTACACATCAATATAGAGTCTCCATGCGATTCTGAGAAAATATCGCAATTTCATTCATATCATAAAAAAATCACATTAACATATAGACACATCAAAATACATGTAAAATTATATATTTAAAAACAAAGACCACCTTTGTAGCATCACAGACTAAAATGGCGTTAATTTGACATCCACAAATCAATTTCACCTAAATTGACATGGAAACCATCAGAAAATACACGAGATTGTGAACCTTCTATTGAGACTAAATGGATCATAAAAATATGCTGATTCCATTTCTCACAGCAATTCCAGCTGATGGTTAACCCCCATTATCTTAAGTAGAGTTGCTAAGAGACTGACACAGCATGACATATCAAATGTGTAGTCCTACAATTGCACTTCTTGAATGGTCCCATCATCAGTGTATTATGTAACTTCACTTCACAAAGATTTTATTGAAAATTGCATCTTATACAAATTCAAGTGTGTTATATAATCAAAAGTATGATCAGAAAAAAAAGAAACAGCAGTTACCACGACTATCTGTAATCACTAAACCAAGTCTTTATCAGTGATCACTGAACCAAGCCTTTTCTGTGATCATAGAACCAAAACTTTTTATGTGATCACTGATAAAGACTTGTATCTGTGATCACTGAACCAAACCTTTATCTGTAATCACTAAACCAAGTCTTTATCAGTGATCACTGAACCAAGTCTTTTCTGTGATCATAGAACCAAAACTTTTTATGTGATCACTGATAAAGACTTGTATCTGTGATCACTGAACCAAACCTTAATCTGTAATCAATGAACCAAGTCTTTATCAGTGATCACTGAACCAAAACTTAATCTGTAATCACTGAACCAAAACTTTATCAGTAATCACTGAACCAAACCTTTATCTGTGATTAGTGAACCAAGCCTTTTCTGTGATCATAGAACCAAAACTTTTTATGTGATCACTGAACCAAAATTCTATCTGTGATCACTGAACCACGACTCTATCTGTGATTAGTGAACCACGACTCTATCTGTGATCACTGAACCATGGCTTTATCTGTGATCACTGAACCACGACTCTATCTGTGATCACTGAACCATGGCTTTATCAGGGATCGTTGAACTTAGATTTGATGCCATTGATGTACCAAAGTTTTTGTATGATAAAGTCAAATGTTTAGTGATATACAGCATAGGTCCATGACTTTAATAACTGGAATTGTTTTTTTGTCAACTTGGGTTACTTCCCCTAAATTAACCTCTGATCCACCTCATTATCCTCTAGTGATCCCCTACCCTGTGTTGATAGACCACACACTCTCTAAACAGGATGTTCATCGTTACAGTTTCTACGGTATTCCTGGACAGAGTCTGGAGAGTAGTGAAATGTTGTTACAACATATATACTTCTTTTATCATGTCAACTATCACACTACCGAAGTTTAGCAGTGATAATGGTGGCTGTTCTCGGCACACCCAATATAATTACTCAAGGATAGGCCGATTTCTTTAAATTGATAATTGTTTGGCAGACATGGGTGAGATTCAGTCTGGCTGAATATTGAACCATTCTTCAGTGCACAAATAAATGATTTATTTTTCTAATTTCTAGCTTTTTCATAGCCTTATCTTAAATCTTTGCATTAAGTTTCACATACATCATATTTAAATCTGAACCTAGTACATAAATAAACAAAGAATTAGTCTGCAAAATTTGCAGCACACCAAAAAATGCTAAAGCTCTATTTTTGACTGAATACAATCAATAAGAATTTGGAAATAAGATCTCAAACATGTACAAGCTTTGGAAATAACCAGTTATAGGAAAACAATTCAATCAAGAATTCCTTCAACCTATCACAAATAATCATGCTTCTGGCTGATTCTGATCATAAAAAACAAATACAGGCCACAGCAATTGGTCTTACATTAAAAGTTAAAAGATAAATACAAATGAAAATATTGATATGATACATTTCACTGGTAACGGGCATGTGACGGGTTGTAGAGGCCTCAAACCTTAATTACAGGTAAATTACACATTCAGGTGAGTCAAATTTAAGCAGACATTTAACTACAATGTATATATGTTGTACCCAATGATGAAAGTAGAATGTTTTATAGGTTGTGCCCACCTTAGGGGGATACGTCCTCAATATGTAACGACATTACAGAACAGAACATGTAAATGAGGTTTGGAAACACACCTGGAATATTTCCAGGTATACAACAAACATTTTGTTTGTAGACAAGATGATATTGATATTTTGTAACGACCCAGGTGGCCTCCTAGATGCTAATCTATATCAACATATCAACAGGTATATGTGGAAAACAGAAATTCATCATTTTACATTTTCCTTACAATGGTACAAATATATGCATATTCGGCTCTTGGGCAAGAGTTTTTGACAGTAATGTTACTGTCCTTGTGTCGAGAACACCATTTCTCGATTATTTTTCACACTCCTTTTGTTTGATGGTGTAAAAATGACAAAAGTTATTCTAGACGAGGCTGACTTAACTACTCTCATCGAAAGTACTGCTGAAGAACACCCACAGGGTTTAACTCTGCTTAAATTATAATACTATGATATTAATGGTAATGATTCAAGTCTATATATAATATAAACTGAAGGAGGTCAAGGTCACAAGTATGAAACTTTTAAATGAACAGGATGAGATTCGAACCATAAATAATCATTTTAATTACACTGACACACAACTTTCACAATATAACACAGTATGGTACATGTAGCATTCAAACAAAAGCAAATCATTTTGAATAGAAATTTTCCTGACAATATTTACAAAGACCTAACTTGGTAAAATGTTTGCTCCAATTTCTTTGGCTTCCTGTATCATTTGCGTATGTAAACACCAAGTTAGATATGGCCTTTTACTGATTTATTAATGTTTGCTTTGCAAACACATTTCTATTAACAAGAAACAAAATTAGATCAGTAACGAAGAATAGTTAAAAAAAAGCCCATGATTTGATAAGGACTGTCTCTGTGATAAAATCAATACTTTAAAATTATTTCATACCTAAACATCACTTTCTTTATTTCAATATACATGTACCCCATTTTTGAAAAAGAAAGTTCTACATATTGAATTTCAGATGCTCCCCTATACACACTTGTCAAATATTGAAATTTAAGTAGTTTAATCATTCATAGACAGTCATAGAACAGGCAGCATGCATTTGTTCTAGTCGCTACACATGTATAATGCTATAACAACAGTGTAATACACACAGTTCCTCATTCCCATGTCACACCAGACCCAAACAATTTTAAAATAGGACTAGAGGTCATACATCCCTTCCCCCCAAAAAAAAGTCAGACTTAAAGACATAAACATTTGGTGAATTGAAAACAATATATTCAAAAATTAAAATTGTGAAATTTATATTGAGATCAGAGTTTTATGAATTAACATAAAGTTTGTGTGACTGGGTATTATTCATGGAGCTCAGTCAATTCAAATTATCAGAAATAATTGGGACCTATCCAGCTACAGGTGAAGGATCCCAATCATTACTGTACACTGTACTATGATTACTGTACACTGTACTGTGATTACTGTACACTGTACTGTGTGCTATATCAGTGTATCATGCTATTATCTATATCACAGTGAATAGGTATGAAATCACACAATACGGGATCCAATCAGTATGATAGATAAATCAGAACTCAAATTATACGTAAAAACAGAAGTTTAAATGACACATTCAAACTGTGAAACATCTTTAAAGGATGATGAGGTCACATAAAACAACATAGGATTTCTCATAACAATGATCATACATCCTGTAACATAGGATATCTCAGGCAGCAACAACTTACTGCACAAAATTACTGGTAGATAAATGTATAGTCAGTGTTGTGATTATCATAGAGATTCAAAAGTGTTCCTTCGTCTTCATTTTGTCACTCCTATGTACCGTAACTTATCTAAAGAGAACTGCTCCTACATGTGTATCATTTGATATCTTTGGATAGTCAAGCTATAGAAAACAACACACAGATAATTAACAGAGAAACATTATGGCCACAGATTAAAGCATGTGCATGACACAGACCACAAACTTTGACATGACAGAGATCAAAGTGGCTGTCCATCCTAGTTTTCTGGAAAGCTTGGCATACAATTAAACACGAGTTAATGTTACTTGGTCAGTTTGGTTCCACACTGACCTTTGTTTATATGTTAGTATTCAACTACAATAGTATCTCGGCTCAACCATCAACAAACCCATGCACACGGAACTAGAACACAGTAATCCATTAAGAATTGTCTTTTATAACTGAAAGCATTTATTTTTTATTTGATTTATAACAGATTATTGAAAAATTGGCCGATCCTTAACAAGGCACTTTCCAAAGTAATATTTGTTTCCGTATCCGACTTCTTTGATGTCATGCAAACATATAAAGCATTTGTTCTTCGTGCACCTCTCCTACAATTTGTCTTTTTTTTTTTTTAAATATGTTCTATCTAATAATAGAAATAACAAGAATGAAGGATTTTTTTCTTTTTTTTTTTTGAAAAATAATGGAATTCCAATGTTTGTTTAAATAACCCACACAATGTAATCATTGATTAACCCTAGTATTTAATTGCCCAGTGTGGTTGCACCAGCAACCGTAATCATGCACCAAATAACCTATAACCCTTTCATTACCCCGATATATAGGCATGCCTCAAGGTCAAGCTATTGTACCTCAGGGTCAAAGGTCATGCCACTAGCAGACCTTTGTACCTTATTTTATTCAAATGAAAGGGTCAGAGGTCAATGCCAACCTCAGGTTTCACAAACCTGGGACATGTTACTACTTATGTACCACTATGAATAACATATTGATGCACTGCATGGATATACGGTGAAAGATCCCACAAAATATACAAACTCAGATTCTGTACTTCGCTCACCAACTATTGGAGTTGAGCCATTTTACCAGCCATTTTTTCCGCTCTGTAATTGACAAGGAGAACAACGTTCAAGATCAAGACTGCAAATAAAAATTATCAATGCTTACTGTTCTTAAGGAAAATGTCAGATAATGCTGGTCTAATCAGAAACTCTTTATTAGGTCATGGCCCGAAGCTCTGATAAAATAAAGTTTATCATTACACAAGTTAATCTATAAAATTAAAACATCATACTACAAAGATGTCAAACAGTTTTAAATATTTCCATTTGGATACACTCTGTTAGAACAATGAGACAATTCACATTGACAGAACCTCCTTCAACATGCTATCCTATTCAATGTTATATTGAACATTGAAAAATAGGCAAAACTTCCTAAGGCTACTGCAGAAGTAAATTTTGAGGAGGAATCCATCAGAATCTGCGATGACAACTCCAGGTCCAACACTAACTACATAACCGAGGAAACACTTATATGCTACAGAAATAAATCAACAGCACATCCACATGCAGATAATACTAAGGACAAGGAGATGAAATGATTACAGTATCCACCACCACCACAGGTCTGGGCACCATCAAGCTGTTAGGTAGTACAGCTACCAAAAGCTGTTATAATCATAAATACTTCTATCTGTACCGACTATCACTCTGTAGATCTCTCAAATAATGTGGGGGTAGGTAGCTAGGAGGGTGTTGATGAGCTGATAAATTAATTCATAATAGAAGTACTAAGCATTCATTATTTAATCTTGCACTCATCAAAACCATCTAATTATCAGGAGAACAATATAACAAAAATGTTCAATGAAAGTTACCAATGTGTAATTGTTTTAGGAATGACAACATACAATATATCGGTAGTACTGTCGTAGAGTTACTTAAACATGTACTTTGTACAAAGATCTTACTGTCCCTCCATTGTACCTTGTCCCTCTGGGTACTACAATTTTACATGAGTACAAGATCAAAATTTCACCTGAAAATTACGAAAATGATAATATTCTACATATATTTGCACAAAAAATAAAGTGTTTTATGTGTATAAGTATGGCACATCCAAATGTTATGGACCATGGAAATGATGGTGGTCACATATCCTGGTCAACAAGTGTCCACAGGCAATGAGAGGCCTACAGAGTTCACATATACGTACATAAGGTCCTGTGTCCAGCGTAAATAATACAACAATGTCAAACATCACAGGACGATAAAACCGACTTATGTACAGACGATCAAAAATAGCAGACGACGGAGTAACGTAGGGGAATCAAAATCTCATGATCATTGTTAAATAAAATAACATTCCTCAGCTTATTCTCCGATAACATACCATTAAATTATTTTTTTCAACCGATACTTATCTGCTGTATCTGAGATTTTTAAAGATATCCCTAACCTCACGTTGAATTCACTTTGTTCTGTGCCTTAATAAACAAAAAATCCTGTTTTATTATACTCAAAAAACATCTGTGCATGGTCTTCAGTTAGTCTGTGCCCGCAGCTTGATTTTCTGAAATCTTCATAAAAAATCAAACATGATAAAACAGTAAACATGCAGGCCCCCTATAACAAGGACTCCACACATTGGTGTTATGCTAGCTGTGAAAACCTAAACAATTCTAAAGCATGATGATTAAAAATAAACATGAAAATAATTAAGTGTTACACATGAACACTCAACAACGGTCAATAAGCTAATGTTACGGACAAAATAAGATCAACAATATTATTATAGCAATATGTCGGTACGTCAACCCATACCTCTGATCACAACATACAAACAATAACAGTACCCATACCTCTGATCACAACTAGAAGATCAATATTCTCACACAGACTAGATAACGTAATTGTTCATACAATAAACTTGAATAAAATTATGAAGAAATATGTATACAAACTTATATTTAATGGAAAGTCTCTTCTTCAATAGGCGATGATCTTGCTCCGAACTTGTGAATCTTTTGAGTGCAGGAATATGCACTTGGTCAAATAGGAATATAATATTTGATGTGAAATGTAATTATGAGGATGTGTGAGCAAATATGTACAGGTAGTTCATGATGAAGTCAGGCAAAGGGCAAGTGGTCTACGTAAGGCAGGGCATGTATCACACAATTTGTGTCGAAGTTCATCCTCTCGTAATGTCCGTATTTACAGGTAATGTTTACAGGTAATGTTTTAATAGGCATTCATTCATAAGGCTATGTCATAAAATCACAACAACTTTTCATTCATCTTTCTGACCTGGAAATACACACATGGACAAGCATGTGTGTGCACAAAAAAAAAATACTGTTTAATAATCTTAATATTGGCACGTAAGTTCGTGGCTCAATATGGTCACACAATTTATATTATTAATATACTATTGTAAACACAGTGACATCTGCCTTAAAGATACCTTTGCAAGTAAAACACTGGTTCATTAGTCAAAGGAATAAGCATATTAAAAATGAAAACAGATCCGTGTCTGATAATAAGGTAGCGGCCGAGGCAGGTTTCACAGTATCTACAATATATCTATGATACCATCAAAATCCTACTATTCCCTCAATTTTGTTGGTTATACATGGATTGTTAGCAGCACAGAAACAAGACACATGGATAATTATTGGCGTGGTTGTAGGAGTACCGTCGGGTAATCCCACATCCTTCCCAGACATAGATCCTGCCTTGCCCCTGTGATAAACGGGTTATTCCAAACTTTCCACATACAACTGTGTATCTGATACAGACCGGGACCTCTCTGAACATGCAGTTGATTAGCCAAGTAAATTTTGATTTTAACTCAGCTATTCTACAGTGCATAGAACAATAAAAATCTGACAACACTTCTTTATAATTTAAATTTAATATCATGTAACAGAATAATGTCAATTTTATGAAAAATGCCAAACTTTAAAAAAAATATATATTACTGTCTTAATAATCTAAATGTCTGTGGGAAAAAGAACAAGTTCAATTATTTGAAGATTCCCAGCTGATTCATTTTATACTACTAACATTGGAATTTTGAAAAGCACATGGACAGGGGAGATAACTGGTAATACTATGTTATCAGTACACAGTTGTATAATACGACCCTAAACCTCGGACAAGCACACCACGGTCATGTAAACGTGACGACAAATCATCAGCTGAGGCTGTGTAACATATCAATAAACCCTAATTCTTCCAAATAGTTCTGATAATAATTCCTTTTGTACATATCACAATTATTTTCTTTTAAATCATGCAAACAAATACCTTTGGTATCTTAAGATAATTTCACATATCTAAAACATTCTCTAACCATTAGGGTCTATTAGACCATAAATTGTGCTAAGACAAGTACAGAAAATATCAATTTACAAAAAAAATAATTAGCAAATTATGTTTTTTTTCTTTTTCTGTTTCACATATAAACATGAAACGTTACCTTATAATAATTTTTATATTTAAATTGAAATAATAAAATAATAAGATGCAAAGGAAAGACATTTTTTAAAAACACCATTTTGAATCTAGCATCCATGTGAAGTTGATATAAAAAACTATAATTCTAATAAGATATCAACTGTTAAATGTCATTTTGAGCTAGCCTTTCGTATTTCACTGATGATAGCTTTTCAGTCTGTATTTTATTTAAAGTTGTCTGATTGTTTCTGAGCATAAAGAATATTACAGCAGCCAAAAGAATGATGACTAGAGCGATCACCACGACAACCACAGTCAGTATGACTGTAGCATCCCCAAATCCTTTCTCACCTTTCTGGTTTTTAGAGGCACCGACAATGCATTTGCCTGAAATAAGAAAGTAAAGGTGTGCAAATAAAATTGCTAAGAAATCTTTTTAAAGTTAAACACGGTCTCTGCAAATCAAGTGTACAAGAAAATGCATAAAGGATAAAAAAAAACAAATTGTGAAAGAAAACAGAGACAGTATATCATTGATAAAATAGTACAATCATGCGCCAAATTTGGTGCTTACACAATATGTGTATGTTGTAATGAGGTTGTTGTCTAGGTGTTTCTATGGAACTCCCGAACAGCATTAACTTCATTTTTATCTTCTACCTCAAACTCCATCTTACAAAACCTGGAACTGTGGTAATGAAGACAGTATGTTACCAGCAATAAAGACTCGGAAAAGTGTTCCCAGCATTAAAGACTAAGATTTAATATACTTCAAGATGAAAATAGCAAAAGGAAAGAAATGGAAATTTCATAATTGAAAAGCAAAATGTTCTGATTGTCAGTCATGATTAAATAGGTTTCATGATGGATAAACAAATCAAGCCCCGGTCAAGACAGGATCTATATCATTTGTATGAGATAGCCCTTGTAATAAAATGGTACGGGTAATTAAAACAGTACCGGTAAATAAAACGGTACCGGTAAAAAAACAGTACCTGTAAATAAAAGGGTACCAGTAAATGTCCTACCTTTACTGATGTCACATTTACAACAGCTGGTCGTATCCTGGCTGGAGCCGACACAACAGGACAGACAGGCTTGTAAGTAGGGGTGGAACATCAGCGGACTGCGACACGAGTTACAGTCCGTCGCCTCCGGTCCATGACAGGTGTTACAGTTCTGATGGCAGGCTCTACAGGACTGGACAAACAAACAAAGTCGCTTACAGATACTGATCTTATTCTGTATACTGACAGTGAAGCTATCATTATGTCAGTGTGGCAGTCATAAAATGAGTTATACAATATAACATATAGCTGTATACACAATAAAATGTACAGGATTCTAAAACTGACAACAGGTTTAACACCTGGAACAATCTGCTAGTGTTGAAGTAGCCTGACAATGATTGAGGAGACTTTTCCCTACAAGATGATGGCTTAACGTAAACTAAATCATATACATTACGCTTATCTCTTTAATCTAAGTTTTCTTTTATTGTCACACTGTTTTATATCAATTTTTAATTTCTTTTAATGTTTCTTTGAAACTTTGTTTTTCTGACTATATGGTAAGTAAATTTGACTGATGTTTCCATTAGCTAGTTTCCATCACATACAGTGTTATGGTTTTATCAATATACAACAGAGACTCGACTTCAGATCAGAGTCATTCACAAGTAAAGTAGTCCTTCTCCTCTTCATGACAAGAAGTGGTATTCAGTCATCAAATTTTGCCTACCATAGCAACTAACAAATTTTGCCTACCATAGCAACTAACAAATTTTGCCTACCATAGCAACTAACAAATTTTGCCTACCATAGCAACTGAAAAATGTTCCCTACCAAAGCAACTTACACATTTTGTATACCATAGCAACCAACAAATTTTGTCTTCCATAGCAACTTACAAATTTTGTATACCATAGCAACTAACAATTTTTTCATACCATAGCAACTATCAATTTTTCCTACCATAGCAACCTACAAATTTTCTTACCATAGCAACCCAGTCATAGAAGTTGTTGGTACTACAGGCGCTCTCCTGGAAACAAACACTGTTGGACATCCTGAAGCCGTTGGCACAGCTGTTACACACACCTACAATACATATCAACAATGACAAGTTACACAAATTCCATCCATAAAGCAGGAAACAAACAGTTCATCTAGTTAGGCCAAACAAAATTTGATTACTTGGTTCTCAGGGACCGCGCGCATTTCATTTTAGGGCACTGCACAGCTGATTTTATCGTGAAAATAATAAAAAAAAACAAGGTTACCGCGAGCGGTATATAATACGCCCGTCACACATTGAATGAGCAGTTGTTTGTATGATTAACCTTTTTGTGAAGTTTGAAGTTAATCCGTTAATAATTACTTGAGATATCGAGCGGACACTGTTTCGGCAAGTACATAAAGGGGCATAACTCCACAAATTATGTTCGGATAATGGCGGATATCGAACTTGTCCGAGCTTTCATGGTAATTAACCTTGTTGTGAAGTTTGAGGTTAATCCGTTAATAATTACTCGAGATATCGAGCGGACACTGTTTCGGCAATACCAACCAGGACCTGGAACCTACATACCAACCAGGACCTGGAACCTACATACCAACCAGGACCTGGACCCTACATACCAACCAGGACCTGGACCCTACATACCATCCAGGACTGGACCCTACATACCAACCAGGACCTGGAACCTACATACCAACCAGGACCTGGACCCTACATACCAACCATGACCTGGAACCTACATACCAACCAAGACCTGGAAATCGTCCCAGGGGTAACCCATGATCAGTATTGAAACCACACTCACAATTTAAGCCCATTCTCAAAGTCCACACCCAAGTCTAACCCCATTAGGTAGATTTTAAAGAGAAAGTGAACGGATGGAAATGATGTTCTGCATAATTAATACAGGGTCGCATAAAAATAAACCTAGTATAGATTTTACCTCATTTAGTGGTAAGATAGGATATGTTTTTCCTCAATAGAAAGATTTAATAGGATATCATGGATATGTTTTTCCTCAATAGAAAGATTTAATAGTATATCATGTAACTTATCTACCTAGACCTCGATAAATATGTTTAACTAGATGATGTTTGGATAAAAGTGTGATTCTTGTACGTTACCTTGGTTACATTTGCGACACTCCCGGTGGCTCGCAATCTGCAGCACATGTGGCAGGTATCCTTTCTCACAGGAGGTGACACACCTACCATTCTGGATATAGCTACAAGGGATGTGCAAAGCAATATAATGTAAACGGCTTTATTATTTATCAAATTATTTTACAACACCAGAGCTTATCTACTCTTTTTCATATCATGTTGAGAATGATACTTGTACATGTATTATGAGAGCAAAATCAATATAAGCTAAGGAGAGGCAAAAATTTAGTAAGACAGGTCATTGAATATTTACCCCATTCCTAATAGGCCAAAACCTAATGTTGATCATTATTACCTTTTATTCCATTTCCACACTTAGCTACACTGGGTTGTACTCTGCTGTTAAAGCTGTTAAATACCGTTTATACAAGGATTCTCTGGGTCAAGTTAAAATCCATTACCCTGTACTCACTCAGCTCTTACATCTTCAATAAGATTAATCAGTTTGGGAAAATAACTAATATCAAAATTTTACTTTCTACACAAACAATGTACATATTAGACTTGACAAACGGACCAGTAGGTCTATAAATGTTGTGACATGTTTAATATGTACATTGTTTGTGTAGAAAGTAAACTTTGATATTACTCAGCTCTTTATTTGTTTTGCCTCCGTTTTAGCGTAATACATTTAAAAAGTATTTTTAGCAGTAGGTTAACATACTTGACAGTGGGTTTCATTCTTTGTGGTCAGTAAACCTACTTAAGTCACTCATTTTGTAGTAAGTTACAAATATTTTGAAGTAGTTTCATATTTTGTGGTAGTTTACATATTTTGTGGTAGGTAACATATTTTATTGTAACTTAATCTACTTTTTGATAAGTTAACATTTACTTTGTGATAAGTAAACATACCTGAAGTTGTTTTTGCAGTAGACACATTGCCCTGGACTGTCACAGATACGACAACCTGGGTCACATGACTGACAGTGTCCCATCCTGTTCTTGTACAAACCTGAAACACACCACATCTTAGCAACCAATTGTTTACCTTGACAACAACTTTTAAATTACTCTGTCACTTGGATCAGATAGAAGATAGAGACGGGGAGAGGGAGGTCAATGTGATTCTGTCTATGTGAACTGAATTCTGAATTGATTACCGACGATTGAAATATTTTTAATTTCAATATCATGAGTAAATGTATGCTCACAGAAAAAATTGAAATGATATTCAATGTTTTCATTATATTTGCAATTTTTTGTAATAATCTATACACATTTGTAGATGACCCTCATAAATACATTTCATTAACCCAATATCCTCATACTCCAACAACGAGCAAAATTTACTTGCAAGGAAAAAAAACATGTTAGTCAGTATAGCTTTACTTTTTTTTCATAGTTTACACAGCTAAGACCATGAGGAAGAAATCTTCAGATTCAGGAAAAAGTACTGACCAGAGAACATTTACCGAGGAGTTAAGAGGTTTTGTACTAGTTAGAATTGTCTCCCATTTGTCATGCTATTTGATGAGAGAATTATGTAGATATTAAATAGATGGTCATGCTTACACTACCTGGTATTTCTGGATTTTCTGATTTCTGATGTAAGAGTTATGCACGATATGGTGTCCTAATACGGTCGTTATAACTAAAGTTAGTTGTACATGTAAACGAAACAGAACTGCAACTATATATTAGACACCTGTCATTAATAGTTTGGATCTTGAAAAAATTAGATATAAATCTGTTAAAAATAATGTTTTAAAGCAATATTTTTCTGTAACATTTTTCAAATTTCATTGATTTAAAACTGAATTGATTAATAGCTCTGAACAGATAGAAATATTGTAAATTTCTGAAATAATCCATGTTTGGAGTTTGATCATGTATTGATGGGAATCCCATCAGCGTATAACTTGAATTAATATCCTTGCTTTCGTAACACATTTCTTCTGAGGTGTCTTGATATCTAGATTTCAATGACAGGCTTACCTCACTAATACTAATTATCCGTAATATTTGAAATTCAAATTTATTCATTAAAATCATTCTCAATATGTAAGGAACACATTCAAGACTTCTTAAAACTTGCGTGGAAATGTGTCCCTAACAATTTTGTTTTTAATATACATGACCTTCTTCTAATGAGGAAGCGAGGGAGATAACCTACCTTCAGGACAGAGTGTAGGTGGCAGCACACATTTGTTGTTTTTAAGCACCATGGCAGCGACACACTTCAGACAGTGGGAGGAGGTACCTTCACATGACTCGCACTGCTGGGAGCATTTACGACACACTGAGGAGGTTCCAACTGTCAGCAACAAAGTGTAAGGGAAATAACTCTAATTCTCTATATTATAATATTTCATCAATAAATTTGTTTGTCCATAGAAAAAAAATTGATTTAAACATTTGTTTCAGGTCAAGTAAAGATTTTTACCATTTTTAACTTTAATACAACTTTATATCCATAAGCTTCAGCACATTAAACTATAGTTTTTGTAACTGGTATTAGACAAAACAATTCTTTAGTTTTTTAGATCATTATATTTTTATTACAATCTCATACAGTTTGTTATGAGCAAACATTTAACATGTTGAAGTTGACAATGTATGCGACCATTGTTACTTACCTCTGAAGTAGCCGACCGGACAGGAGCTGACACAAGTTCCTTCGTTCTCTATAGAAAACAAACCTCCCTTACACTGCCGACAGTGTTCCCGAGACCCAGGAACAGTCACACAATACTGACAGTTAGTACTGCACGGCACACAAAGGTCCCGGTCCACTCTGTAGGCAGTCGGACATCTTTCTACACAGGGGCTACAATCAACAGAGCATAATCATATAAATTAATTTATTATTAATTTATGCTTGAATCAAGTCGAAAGTTAGTTGTGAAAAATAACCTTAAATATGTACAACAAATATCACATTATCCCTAGTAATTTTTTAATGAAAGAGGCGTCAGAAAACTAACCCATCTGTGATCCGGTAGTGTTTACAGCTAGTACAGTCCTCAGGATTGGGTCCCTTACATGTATCCACACATTCTGAGTGACAAGTCTGTAAAACAATTAAAAATTAGTTAAAATGATACAAAAATCCTTTAACTACAAACACAGATCTTACATGTGATTCTCTGATAGTAAACAACGGTACAGTTGTACACAATTCCTTATTCTCAACCAATTATGGTATAATTACAGTTACATCAAATAACACTTACGTATGTGGGCGTGACTGATGAGGGTGCTTCCTTGAGATTGACTGGCTTGTCCTTTGTTCCATACAACACTAGCGACCAATTCACAAGTGTTCCTAAAACATCAAACACAAGTAGATGTGTAGAGCTGAGATTTATAAATAATATTATTTTGTTTCAGGTATACTAGCTGCTACAAAGAGAACTCCTAAACATTCTGAATAACTAACTACTTTGTGGTCAAATAAGACCAGTAACATTTGTATGACTGAATGTACATGTTGATGTGTACCTTGCTTCAGCAATATTTCATTATACCTGTAAGGTTTTATTGGAATAAGCTTTCAAGAAAATTAATCCATGTAAAACAACTTCTTTGTAGTCAAAGTAACATACAGTAGATTTGATAACCGCAGGTATTAGGTAACCCAGCCACTTTTACAGCAGATTAGGTAACCCAGCCACTTTCAATGAATGTGGAAATGTGTGAACCCTACCTTACTTAAAAAGTTTTGTATAAAAATAGCCAATATGTCCACATTAAAGTGGTGTCTGTATTCATTCACCCCTGAAATTTCATAATGGACTATTCAAACCTTTGAATTGGAAGATTTCAAATGTGTCTTCAGGGGTAGATGAGTTAATCTAAGCAGTAGACCTGATAAGAGAACACCCACCTTGCTGATCATTGCCAGCGTATGGATTTATTTGATCCACTATCACCAATTTCCAGCTCCCTGCTGGGTTCTCCTCCCAGAAATGTACAGACAGAAACTCCCAGCCTTTGAAACCACCGTCACTCATGTCACGGTTCCTCTTGGGTAAAATGGTGGAGTTTGTCCCACTTGGAGAGACTAAGTTGATAGAGAGGTCGCCTCGACGTTTGTAATTGAGGGTGATTTTGACATGGACGTGCTCCAGGTAGCGGACCTCATTTGCTTTAGCAGCACAGCCATCCGTAGTCACTTGGTTTTCAAACATTGTGTATTTGTATAATGGTCTGGAGATAAAGAAAACTTGTATATAAAAAAAGACGCAAGATTGTTGTACAATTCAATAAATTTATCAATATTTAGCTCAAAACAGAAATGTCATAAATCAATCAAATGAACAGAAAGAAAAATCAAACAGTTTACTTCATTTAATGTTTAAGTAAGATGACAACATATTAGTATGCAATACACATTGATTTCGGCAACACAAAGCTAATATTTATGTCTTTTAAATTTCAGGGGATAATACATGAAGTTATACATACACATTCTGTTTGGACCCATTGATGGTACAGATATGTTGTGCTGGTACCGTGGTCCATCGCTCGGCAAGGTAGACCATCCCTGTGGCATTCATCAGACCATAACCATACCTCAGACTCACTACAAACAGAAAGGTGTACTGTGAAAATAGGCTGCAGCTGGTACTTCAAGTCACTTCAATATGGTGTATACAAAATAGAGTTGTTGATGTGTGTCTCTGTATCTATAAAACAGAGATCAAAGTCCAAATGACACCTTAATTAAGAAAGTATCTTCATAACGTCAATAATTTCTGGGTGAAATTTGAAAGAAATTCAGAAATTTCCTTAAAAAAATACCTGAGCATGATTGATTTGTTTTTCCTATTCAGCCTTAAGACGCCTTTACACCAGGAAAGCAGTCTTACACTCACCTTTCCTGCCCATGCCATTCTCACGCCATTGTCCATCTGCCATTGGTTCTGGGTTGGCTGACAACAGTGTGATGTACTGTACATCTCTCCATGTCAGACTTGGACTATAATTGAAAAATATCTCAAATCAAAATCAGAAAATTATCTTCATCTCTTCTAAATCTCATGTTTGTATGTAAAAGAGCGTGTAGAAAAAAAATGTGGGGGATCTTAGAGTAGGATAGGCCGATTTATTATCATTCACAACCAATAATTAACTTGGCCTTGACTTTGGAATCCTGAAACAAGTTTGTTTGAGGTATTTTCGTACTTGATCTCACTACATATTTGATAAAATTGATTAAGGAATTAAGTTGCTACAGCAATGACAGTGAATAAGGATGGATGTGATTGGATGAATGTGGGTAACTCTATACGCCCCCATAAAATGGCGTGGCAGAAAAAGGTATCCCGATACGGTCCAAATACCGGGTATTTTTTTCCTTAAATGAGGACAACATTTTCAAGTCAACAGATTGAAGTGTTCAGCAAATTTGTTGCAAATTTTGACGGGTTATTGAATACAGTATTCCACCTAAATAAAAATGGCTGATGTAGTTAGTCACTGTAATGTTTTAGTGAGCTATTCTATAACTTACACCTATGTTCTACTTACTTGGCCTCCAGGGCCAGAGCCACAAGTCCAGCAGCCAGTGGTGCAGATGCTGACGTCCCTGTGTGTGTCTCTGTACATCGCTTGCGGAGATCTGTTGTTATCTGTAAAAACGTCATTAAGCTCTTGAATCCCAACTAACCAAGATGATTTTTTAACTTTTAAATTCAAATCCAGTGAAAAAATTGTATAGAACTGAACTGGCACTGTATGAAATTCAAGATTTTCATGAAGAAAGAATGCACAATTGTACAATGACTTAGGATAACACAGGGAGATCATCTGCCTTACTAATACCCGCAAAGTATATAAATGAACACATGGACTTACAATCATGCAGAAAGGTCATATCACTTATGAATGCACAGTAATTTCATAAGATTTACCTTCACACAGTTATGTCATGTTATGTGACTTACCAGTACACATTAAGGTCATGTGATTTACCAGTACACAGTAAGGTCATGTGATTTATCAGTACACAGCAAGGTCATATGACTTACCAGTACACAGCAAGGTCATGTGACTTATCAGTATACAGTAAGGTCATGTAACTTACCAGTACACAGTAAGGTCATGTGACTTACCAGTACACAGCAAGGTCATGTGACTTACCAGTACACAGCAATGTCATGTGACTTACCAGGACATAGTTCGACCATGTGATTTATGAGTTAGGTAATGTGAAACACAGTCAGGTATTAATAGTGCCCAGTGAGGTAAATAACTTACGATCTGATGTTCGTCGGGGGCGCCACTGCTGTAGGTAGTAGCGAGGGTGGAGGAGCACTCCTCTAGGTACCAGGGTTTACCGCCATTTTGAGAGGTACTACTGATGGACAGGGTGTATATACTGTTAGTGTAACCGTCACAACTACAGCTATCTTCTGCTCGCCCACCGTTACCCGATGCCCACATGAAGATGTTCCCTTTGTTGCCTCGACCCTACAGTGTAATATGGAGATAGTGAAATGATACAGCATTCTCTCTAATAAAACTTAATGAGCACAACAACAATGTAGTATAGCTGATATCTTAAATAGTTGATAGTAATATCATAAATTAAAGAAACCTTTTATTCTGCAAAATAAATTTCTAAGCCAAAAATTTCAATTCAGCAGTAAACTGTAGGACTGCTCCCACTACAATTGCCCACTTACGGTCTTGATGCCCTGTACAAAGGACTTCTTGGCCAGAGGTCCTGGTCCATCCACCACACGGCCATCGTCGTCCGGCCCCCAGCTGGCCGAGTAGATGTCAACGTGAGTGTGGTTGTGGCTGAGTGAGTCGGCCTCAACTTTGTCGTACACATTACCATCCAACATACGCACACCTAAAAATGGACCAGTCATCAATATCAATGTATAACCAGTTATCAGTAACCTCAGGTAAACCAGTCATCAATGTATAACCAGTTATCCAGGGTTATCAGTAACCTCAGGTAAACCAGTCATCAATGTATAACTAGTTATCCAGGGTTATCAGTAACCTCAGGTAAACCAGTTAGGAATATTGATATGTCTCTATGGTTTGGTTATGTAAATGTATTACAATGGTATATTTTATCATTGAAGTACTATGTAATGAGAAGGTTATGTGTTTTGGTTAATAATGTCTAACTTAACAAGCGCATGTTTATCACCATGATCGTATATTGCATTTCTCTACGTAGATGTTGGTGTGTTATGAAGTGTTTGAAATGTTGATTCCTGTTGAACAACTTCGTGTTCTTCTTCAGCATATTGTTTTACTGCCTTTACCAGGTACTGACATATGTGGATGGGTCTGGTATGCAGAATTCCCATATCAGTAATCTGTGAACAATTAAAGAAGGTTTTGAGCCATGTTCTTTTCTTTCATTATTTTCTTAGAAATGCGAGTCGAGGAAAACAGGGACACAAGCAGGACTGAAGCCCGTATGTACTTGATGGATCAGTCCTAGGATGTATTATTTCCAACCTACCTGAAAGATGTTTTTGTTATTATTACAAACAAATGACACACCTTTGTGTACCTGATACACTATGTAGTCTGAAGCCATGATCCCATCCCTAACTCAGCACAATGATCTCATTGTTAGATAACCTGTATACCGACCTGTAGATACGGACGGACAAGTACAGCTTCTGTGCCACTTCACTAATTGGTAACACATATATGACAGTTATAGAAAACAACATCTTTAATATGCAAATTGTATGTAAATGAGTACATGTGTTACAAGGTAACTATCAGAATAGTTTATCTCTAAACGTTTCTTCAGGACAGCAGAGGGTTCACAATCCTCTGAGAGGTGTAAACATGTGTACAGAGCTCTCTACCCAATCCTTAAAGGGACTGTTTCCCGAGCTAACACTTATGGTACAATCTGTTTATCACTGTCAGAGCATGGGCTGATCACAGGTAGACAAGGTAATTAATACCTGATCAAATTTCGCAAAAAATCAACTCATTTATGAAAGCTCCACTAAATAATCAAACCAAACGAACATGTTTACACAGCAAAAGATGTTGATAATAAATAAACGTGAGGTTACCCTGGTAACTATGAAAAAGAGCTGTTAATTATTGTTATCAAGTGAATTTGTTGTTTCCCTTTATGCTTGATAACGCTATGATTAGGGCAGCTGTACGTAGGAAGCAAAAGTTGTAGATTGATTTCATATTTCCTTAGTTGCCAAAAACTTTTTTGAGTGATAAAAAGTACAAAGACAACTGCCGAGGACAACGCTTTAGGACTGAACACCTTAATATATCTGATCATCAAATCTCGTCGTTTTTGCCCAGTCAGTAGCCTGAAACATCACATTCACACTCCTGTTGGCTATTGTCTGTGAGCCTGTAACAAACATTGATGTTCTGGGCCCTAACTTGTATGTGCATTAAACAGAATATTGCGTGGATGTGACACATGGATAGATGTATGACTTCAAAACAATGAGGCTACATTTTAACACTATGCTTTACTATGTAAATTTACTACATTGCTATGACATATAAAATTTTGTGTTTAAAATGAAACTCATACATTGTAGCCTGTCAACACATTTTCATTGTTTAATTCTCTTAAGAGACCGGCAACCAAAACAGATATTAATTTTAGGACTTCCATCAATCACCAATGGAGCGATTGGTTACCTCCTATGCCCGAGTTGAATGCTACACCAACAATACAGTTAGAGTTATTGGCCTTGGCAGCTACCTCTCCTGCACATCGAGTTCCATGCCTGCAAAAAGGCGAGCAAGAAATTCAGTTACAAGGATCTCAGTTCTTATGTTTTCTTTACAGAACTAAAGAGAGGCACATTATATAATTGACAAGATAATGAGTATATAAATATCCATTAATTGATGTCTGGTTGCCTAAAGTAGGGACAATTATTAACACAACAACTGACATTGTGAAGTATGTTAGAGTAGTTTCCCACTTATCTAATGTTCTCCAGTCCTAGCCTTGTAATTAGGAAGTAATTTGGAAATGACTTTTTACTGGACACCCAAGTTAAAAGGTCAAGCACGCAATAAAATATATCCTTTTTAATATACTTTTGTAATGGCTAAAAATTTACCAGTATTTACATATACTTGCTGATGGTGAACTTCCAGGTAATTATAAAATACCTCTAATATTTCTACTGAGTATAACATAGGATCCTAATACTGTATCATACAAAACACATGTTTTACTATGGAACATGTTTGACCTCTACAAATGTACATATATGTATAATATATAACAGAGGGAGGTCAGTCTTCTGCTAACAACTCCCAGAGTACAACATTCAACCAAGTCAGTAAATGAACACCGTAAATTGGCATGCTCTCTCGGTAAATAATTCATACACAAAATCTATCAGCTAATCAATAAAGCCTACTTTATCGTGGATGCACACAGAGTACCAACATAACTGATAAGATCTAATTATAACTCTAAAGATTAATGAGCTTGCTCTAGAAAATTTGCCTCTAGTTTTAGTTTGTACCAATGCAATGCGAGCTTGGTATGATTGTGATAAAATAAAGAACCAGCAAAATTCTAACATCAACACTTGAGTGGCAAAAAAGACGAGAGAACTTTTCCTTTTCGACTCAAAAATGTACTAAACTAAACACTGACAGGATTATTTGAAAGTAACCCTGCATTATTTTTCAGCACAGTTAAATATCATGATGAAAAATATTTTTCCTTCACAAAGGAAGTTTCTATGGTAAAGGTGTATTTTTTGTGATACACTGGTACAGGTCCTTAACCCAAAACAACACTTTTGTATCTTTATAGGTCTACTAGAATTCAAGCATACCTGTTCTCGTTGCTGAAGTCGTATCTTGGCATGGGGTCGGAGTCATGGCCGTTGATGTCAGTACTGGCATATGGATCCTGTGTGGAGAAAAGCGGAAAGGTTATCTTTGACAAAGCACACTTGGCGACAGAGGGTCCTTTATCTGGCGACAATGAGGACCTCGTGAGACTAAGGTCCTCATCCTTTATCTTGTTGGAGCAGCACACTTTGATGCTGAAGGTCTCCTCGTAGAACCTGTTACATTACTGGCCTCATTGCTATCTTGTTGGCATGTATTAAACCTAGATGTTAGGCAACAACACAGGACATGATGGTCTAGTAAAACTTTTATCTCAAGGTTTTGACAAAGATTTCCTGTACCTATAACAGATCCACTTAACCTTGAAAACATTGATTACCGACCATCACGCATACAAAATAGCAGACGGTTATTTACGCAAATGTTTACATGGATGTCTTATTCTTCATCACCACCTTACTACAACAGAAACAATTCTGTAAAATGTCTGAGGATTGTTACTGATGTCATTTCTGAGGTCTGAAAAGTCCACTAACACAGAAAATCATAAAGGGCCATGTTATCTAAGAAATGATCACTCTGGAGATTAATCACTCTGAAAACTTACAACTTCAACAACTGACCACTTGACCACTCTGGATATTATACAGTAAATACCACAAAAACATTCATGAGGACTGACCACTTGACCACTCTGGATTGACCATTCTGAGGACAGACCACTCTGGTGGCTGACCAATCTGGATATCATATGGTAAATACCACAACAAGATTAATGAAGACTGACTACTCTGGATATAATACTCAGAGGACTGACCACTAGAAATACTGACCACTCTGGATATAATACTCCGAGGACTGACCACTAGAAATACTGACCACTCTGGATATAATACTCCGAGGACTGACCACTCTGGGACTGATTACTCTGACAGTTGACCACTTTTGACATATATACAACAATGAAATCTCTTCTTTAACAATTGAAGATAAAAAACAATTCATAATCACACATAGGAACTGAAATACAAACACTGTAAATGATTAAACTACACACAAAACCTTTATTTTGGACAAGCAAAATAAACATACATATATACAAATGTATAGAGTTTATAAAAGATAATTGAATGCAGTGTAATCAATAAATCATGTGGTAGAAAAGTTAAGGTCAAAAATTTTCAAAACAAGAAGACGCTGAATACCAAGTCAAGATCCCAAAAAACAGAAATTCACTTAATACAGGGTCAAAGTCACATGAAACTGGAAGTTACTTAATACAGGGTCAAGGTCACATTAACAGAAAGTTACTTAATACAGGGTCAAGGTCACATAGAACTGAAAGTCACTAAATACAGGGTCAAGGTCACATAACATGAGAAGTCACTAAATACAGGGTCAAGGTCACATTAACAGAAAGTTACTTAATACAGGGTCAAGATCACATAGAACTGAAAGTCACTAAATACAGGGTCAAGGTCACATAACATGAGAAGTCACTAAATACAGGGTCAAGGTCACATTAACAGAAAGTTACTTAATACAGGGTCAAGATCACATAGAACTGAAAGTCACTAAATACAGGGTCAAGGTCACATAACATGAGAAGTCACTAAATACAGGGTCAAGGTCACATTAACAGAAAGTTACTTAATACAGGGTCAAGATCACATAGAACTGAAAGTCACTAAATACAGGGTCAAGGTCACATAACATGAGAAGTCACTAAATACAGGGTCAAGGTCACATTAACAGAAAGTTACTTAATATAAGGTCAAGGTCACATGAAACAGGAAGTTACTTAATACAGGGTCAAGGTCACAACTAAATACAGGGTCAAGGTCACATGACATATGAAGTTACTTAATACACAGTGCATGTCAAAACACATTTGGACGTTCCTAATTAATACCAAATAAAAGAACCTGAAAAAAGCAGGTTTAGGGCCTTTTCAATTTTCGTCTAGAGACATTTTTTTATTGTTATCAATTGCCACCATGAAAAAACTCAGGTAGAATGAGGATGAGAATGGCTTGGTTAATAAAACCCTTAAGATCATTTACACCACACTTAAAAGCTTAGGGCTGAGAACAGCTATAAAGTGGCCGACACTCTCACAGGAAGAGTATATAGCTGTAGTGGCGACACTCTCACAGGTAGAGTATATAGCTGTAGTGGCGACACTCTCACAGGTAGAGTATATAGCTGTAGTGGCGACACTCTCACAGGAAGAGTATATAGCTGTAGTGGCGACACTCTCACAGGAAGAGTATATAGCTGTAGTGGCGACACTCTCACAGGAAGAGTATATAGCTGTAGTGGCGACACTCTCACAGGAAGAGTATATAGCTGTAGTGGCGACACTCTCACAGGAAGAGTATATAGCTGTAGTGGCGACACTCTCACAGGAAGAGTATATAGCTGTAGTGGCGACACTCTCACAGGAAGAGTATATAGCTGTAGTGGCGACACTCTCACAGGAAGAGTATATAGCTGTAGTGGCGACACTCTCACAGGAAGAGTATATAGCTGTAGTGGCGACACTCTCACAGGAAGAGTATATAGCTGTAGTGGCGACACTCTCACAGGAAGAGTATATAGCTGTAGTGGCGACACTCTCACAGGAAGAGTATATAGCTGTAGTGGCGACACTCTCACAGGAAGAGTATATAGCTGTAGTGGCGACACTCTCACAGGAAGAGTATATAGCTGTAGTGGCGACACTCTCACAGGAAGAGTATATAGCTGTAGTGGCGACACTCTCACAGGAAGAGTATATAGCTGTAGTGGCGACACTCTCACAGGAAGAGTATATAGCTGTAGTGGCGACACTCTCACAGGAAGAGTATATAGCTGTAGTGGCGACACTCTCACAGGAAGAGTATATAGCTGTAGTGGCGACACTCTCACAGGAAGAGTATATAGCTGTAGTGGCGACACCCTCACAGGAAGAGTATATAGCTGTAGTGGCGACACTCTCACAGGAAGAGTATATAGCTGTAGTGGCGACACTCTCACAGGAAGAGTATATAGCTGTAGTGGCGACACTCTCACAGGAAGAGTATATAGCTGTAGTGGCGACACTCTCACAGGAAGAGTATATAGCTGTAGTGGCGACACTCTCACAGGAAGAGTATATAGCTGTAGTGGCGACACTCTCACAGGAAGAGTATATAGCTGTAGTGGCGACACTCTCACAGGAAGAGTATATAGCTGTAGTGGCGACACTCTCACAGGAAGAGTATATAGCTGTAGTGGCGACACTCTCACAGGAAGAGTATATAGCTGTAGTGGCGACACTCTCACAGGAAGAGTATATAGCTGTAGTGGCGACACTCTCACAGGAAGAGTATATAGCTGTAGTGGCGACACTCTCACAGGAAGAGTATATAGCTGTAGTGGCGACACTCTCACAGGAAGAGTATATAGCTGTAGTGGCGACACTCTCACAGGAAGAGTATATAGCTGTAGTGGCGACACCCTCACAGGAAGAGTATATAGCTGTAGTGGCGACACTCTCACAGGAAGAGTATATAGCTGTAGTGGCGACACTCTCACAGGAAGAGTATATAGCTGTAGTGGCGACACTCTCACAGGAAGAGTATATAGCTGTAGTGGCGACACCCTCACAGGAAGAGTATATAGCTGTAGTGGCGACACCCTCACAGGAAGAGTATATAGCTGTAGTGGCGACACTCTCACAGGAAGAGTATATAGCTGTAATGACGGACACACTTGATATTATAAGTTGACAGAGAAGGGGATGATGTGTACCTGGAAACAGGATGTGAGCCACTGTCTCCTTTATAAAACACGAAACACTATCTGCCACAGGAGACGACCTTTCCCTACATACAGCTGTAGTACAGTAATCATTAGACCTTAATTAGTTAATTGCATTAAAAAATGGTAATTCAACATTATATTAAAAAGAGACCTGGATTGCTAATGGTGATTTGTTAAATTTATAAATAAAATCTGTCTTTTCATTTTAATCAAGTTCAGAAAAACAATGGCTATATGATGTCATATCAGAGCAGAGTGTTACTTTGGAAACAATACACAATTATAGGCCATTCTCAAGTTCACATCACATCACATTTACTATCACATCAGTCAATGTTATACTTCAGAAGTTTAACTAATAAAAACTTGAGGTTCTTTCTGGGAATGTTTCAAAGCTAAGTTTTCTAACATATTTAATGGAGGTTCCCAATAGTACAGCTTGACGTAGCAGACCAATTATGCTGTCCAATATAATACATTTTATATTAAAAGATAACAAAACTTGTCAACCGACTTTCATATATTTATTTATCAAATAAACTATTTGGCAATGGTGAAGGGATTCCCCAAAAGACTATAGAAACCCATATTCACTGGAAATGGGTCCACATGAGTTTCTGAGAACTGGTTGTCATGTTTATAGGATTATCATTCAGACAGAAATCCGTAGATTTGAGAGGATTATAATCTGCACTTAAAAAAGGTGACATCCACTAGATTTGTAAGGTGGTTTGAACAGATTTTATGTTTCATCAGTTTGTTATGAATAAAACAAACAACCCTACATTTATTTGAAATTTAAACATTTAAATAGTTTTGAGTCTCTGGAGCTTACATGAATGACTTCCACTTTACAATGTGTTAATGTCATTAACCTGGTTTAATAAGTTCAGTGACATAGTGACCCATCATTACCTCCAGCTCCTTAGCCATCAATACACATACCATAAACTCCTAATCCATGGGAACCCACACCATCACCAAAAACCTGACTCTCATACCTTACCATAATCTCATTCTACAAGCAGCCCTTTAGATTGCTTCTTTACAGCCCCCCCCCCCTATTTGAAGTAGCGGTCATTTCCTAGTTTTAGTTTTAACTCTAACAATATTTATTATTATTATTTAAATATTTCAGTAGCTACTTGAAATTATAGATCCTTTGTCTAATGTCTGTTGTGACATTCAGCAAACCCAACTCCATATCTTAAAGGTTGACAAATATATTGGTTAAGTACCAAACAACATCAGAAACAGACTTGGGAAATATAT